TCCACGGGCCCTGCATTCACTATATCCGCTCTCCCAGGACCCTGCGTTCACTATATCTGGTCTCCCTGGACCCTGCATTCACTATATCTGGTCTTCCCGGACCCTGCATTCACTATATCTGGTCTTCCCGGACCCTGCATTCACTATATCTGGTCTCCCCGGACCCTGCATTCACTATATCCGGTCTCCCCGGACCCTGCATTCACTATATCCGGTCTCCCCGGACCCTGCATTCACTATATCCGGTCTCCCCGGACCCTGCATTCACTATATCCGGTCTCCCCGGACCCTGCATTCACTATATCCGGTCTCCCCGGACCCTGCATTCACTATATCCGGTCGCCCCGGACCCTGCATTCACTATATCCGGTCTCCCCGGACCCTGCATTCACTATATCCGGTCTCCCCGGACCCTGCATTCACTATATCCGCTCTCCCCCGGACCCTGCATTCACTATATCCGCTCTCCCCGGACCCTGCATTCACTATATCCGCTCTCCCCGGACCCTGCATTCACTATATCCTCTCTCCCCGGACCCTGCATTCACTATATCCGCTCTCCCCGGACCCTGCATTCACTATATCCCTCTCTCCCGGACCCTGCATTCACTATATCCGCTCTCCCCGGACCCTGCATTCACTATATCCGCTCTCCACGGACCCTGCATTCACTATATCCGCTCTCCACGGACCCTGCATTCACTATATCCGCTCTCCACGGACCCTGCATTCACTATATCCGCTCTCCACGGACCCTGCATATAGGGATATCTGGTCTCCCTCAGTATATAGAACATGGAAATGCAATTATATCTGGTCTCCCTGGACCCTGCATTCACTATATCCGCTCTCCCCCGGACCCTGCATATATGGATATCTGGTCTCCCCGGACCCTGCATTCACTATATCCGGTCTCCCCGGACCCTGCATTCACTATATCCGCTCTCCCCGGACCCTGCATTCACTATATCCGCTCTCCACGGACCCTGCATTCACTATATCCGCTCTCCACGGACCCTGCATTCACTATATCCGCTCTCCACGGACCCTGCATTCACTATATCCGCTCTCCACGGACCCTGCATTCACTATATCCGCTCTCCACGGACCCTGCATTCACTATATCCGCTCTCCACGGACCCTGCATATAGGGATATCTGGTCTCCCTCAGTATATAGAACATGGAAATGCAATTATATCTGGTCTCCCTGGACCCTGCATTCACTATATCCGCTCTCCCCGGACCCTGCATATATGGATATCTGGTCTCCCCGGACCCTGCATTCACTATATCCGGTCTCCCCGGACCCTGCATTCACTATATCCGGTCTCCCCGGACCCTGCATTCACTATATCCGCTCTCCCCGGACCCTGCATTCACTATATCCGCTCTCCCCGGACCCTGCATTCACTATATCCGCTCTCCCCGGACCCTGCATTCACTATATCCGCTCTCCCCGGACCCTGCATTCACTATATCCGCTCTCCCCCGGACCCTGCATTCACTATATCCGCTCTCCCCGGACCCTGCATTCACTATATCCGCTCTCCCCGGACCCTGCATTCACTATATCCGCTCTCCCCGGACCCTGCATTCACTATATCCGCTCTCCCCGGACCCTGCATTCACTATATCCGCTCTCCCCGGACCCTGCTTTCACTATATCTGCTCTCTCCGGACCCTGCATATATGGCTATCTGGTCTCCCTCAGTATATAGAACATGGAAATGCAATTATCTTAGTAAATATAAACTGCTAAATACCTTTCTCATCGGCAGTATAGAGCAGTCTTGTGACTTCTATCAGTGTCCAGCAGAGCACTGGTTAAAGCTTGTAGGAGTTTCCATCCTATTCTGACTGTCCTATGAGGCTGCATAACTCCTGACACTCTGCCCGGACATTGCTGATTGGCCCTGTGCTGATCACATGGACTACCCCCCCCCCCCCTCTTCCCCAAACAAAAAAAAACAAAAAACCTCTCTAGCAATACATACTAAACTGAGCATGACTCCTAGAGCTCTGTACTATCAGCAGATGGACTGAGGACAGTAGAAGAAGGGGAGGGTCAGAGAAGACCAGATCAAACAGCCTTATTGCACAATGCAGAGGATTAACCCCTTAGGTTCCTCAGTGAGTATAACAATCATGATTTACTGTATATACAGACTGATTGTACTGGTATAGATTTAGTAACACTTTAAAGGGGTCATTAGAACACACAGGACTGTGCTGATCTCCATAGTCACCTCCTTTCTAGGTACTTCTCTCCGGAAACCCTCCAGGGAAGCAGTCTCACACAGGGATCTCCGCCCTGGCCTAATAGGCCTTTTTGCAATCTGCCTAGCACTCTTCCCCCCCCCTCCAAAAGGGACAGACTACAGACAGCGCCTCCTGCCCTGTCCAGGGCCTACGTGTGCTGGTTACATCCACATAGATATGGAGTATGTAGCTCCCACAAGTGTGTTGTCCTGTCCAGCCACCAAGTCAGTATTGTGTCTATAGAACAAGTTGGCATCAATGTCCATAGTCGTATGTTTAGACCTTTCACGGTTTGTCCCAATGAAATGAATGTCATACATTTCCAAAGACAGGGCCATCGATGGCAAACACTGCGCTCCAGTGCTCAACCAGAAGATGCTGAAACCAACCGATGCCGTGCGCTACACTGACACGCTGAACGAGGTGGTCCCCGAACTGCTGGACAAGATCAGGGAGCTGAGAGCAGAGAGTCAGTCGGGACTGGTGGTGACCAATGTGGCTGAACTGATGTATAAGTTTGCCTTTGAAAGTAAGTCAAGGTACTCTTCCCACCCAGAGACACTGTCGCTATAATACACAAAGTCCCTACTAAAGAAATGTGCAAGAGCTGTGACTTGCAGTCATCCATGACAACCATTCAGATTGGATTCAATTAAAGGCATTATATACTGGATATAAGTGTGGTGATTAACGTATACAGGCCACTGGCCAAACTGATGGTTCAGGGGTTTCTTCTCCCACTAGTGTTCAGGGCTGCTCCAGGTTTGAGAACTCCGCTCTACCCAGGTGGAGCCCTAGACACTTGTCAAGTCTCTAACAAAAGCCCTGCACAGTCAGTGTGCTGGATGTCCTCAAAACTGGACCCAGGATGATACACTTCATCCCTCCCAAGTCTCTACAAAGACTCAAGGCTCCAAGACCCAAAGTGGGGGTTTTCCAGTCTCTGAGAAAACTGAAAATCCTGTTTCCTCTGTTTGACAAGCACCCTGGAGCTCCACGGCTTGCCTGGAAGAGAACTCTTTGGCATTTAACTTCTTTTGCAATGTGTGTGTATAATTAATATTACAGTGTGTGTATATACATACACATGCATGGAAATAGGTACAGGTACTCACCCCCCCCCCTTCCAAGTTGCACCTAGTCTCCACACCCTGCCCAGCTCCCAGTAAGGCCTCCAACTTGAGGTGACTGTTGAATCCCCAGTGAACGAGAAAAACTATGAATAAACAGAAAAACTCACTGCGGGTCCTCAGAACCTGATGGCAAGGATTAGATTTGAAAATGGAGAGAGCTCTTGTCTATAATCAACCAATGTCCCTTTTTAAGAACAATATAGTCTTCCATGCGCTAGTTGGGGCCCAGTTGGTGTGAAGATCTAAGATGTAGATCAGGGGTGTCCAAACTATGGCCCTCCAGCTGTTGAAGTACTAAAAGTCCTCTGCCTGTGGATGTCAGTCTTGCAAGGCCTCATGGGACTTGCAGTTCCTCAACACATGAAGGGCCATAGTTTGGACACAGTAAAAAGAAGAGAAAACCAGGGGAAAGAGATCCACTGGCATAGAGGTCCTAATGAGAACAAACATGGTTCTGAGGACACCACCATTGTATTTGGTGAGTCGGCAGCATTTTCATTATGCAGTAATTAAGAATTTTCCTTTTTGGACTCTATTACATAATATTTAATTTTGTGAGACATCCCAATTTCTTTTATGCAATTTTTCCATAGTTTGGACACCCCTGGTGTAGATGATAGTTAATAAGTACTTCTCTCTTAATGGTAGTGAACTGATGAAAGGTCCCCTTTAAGGCACTAAACAAGGACACATTCGAAGTAGTGAAATGTAACAGTTGGCATTAGTGTCTGTGAGCAAGATCAACTTTGTGTGACAAGGGCCACAGGCAACAGTAGAAGAAATCCTGTTTAGCTGGGAAGGGTAAATTTGTTGTTTCCGTTGGCACTGCTGTATCCTGGCCTGCAGCTGGGTGTCCTGTGGTCAGCTTGGATAGTGAGTGTACGAGACTCTCACCCAATCAATGGTGTCGGCAGGTCTTAGCGGTTTGTCTTTCAGCAGATGGGGGGCGGGCCCACAGAAGATTCTCCAGTCCTGATTTGGCATCCCAGATTGGCTCACTGCGCTGAGTGGCAAGACCGAATCTTTCCACTCCTCCCTCTCTGGCTCTGCGGCCTGGTCCAGTTCTCCAGCCATCAACACACTTTCTCCTCTCTCTCCCCTCTCACTTCCTAATCAGTCTCCTGGGCTTTGAGATGTATATGCCCCCGCCCACACGCAAGCTCCTCTGGGAAATGTAGTTTCCAGCTGCAATGCTCATTAGTAAAGTCCTGCAATTCAGCATACAAGTTCCACATGGCTGTTCTTCAACATGTGAATGCTAGTATTCTGCAGGACAGTGAAATCTTGTGTTGGCTTCAACATCCTGCATTAGACATATTATAGCAGGGTGTTACACCAGCAGCAACAAACTGCCATCCCATCGTACCGCAAACTGCCACCCCTCCAGCAGAAGTCGTCCTTTGGTAATACAGGCCCAAGCCTAGCGATACTGTACAATTACCAACTACTACATTGTGATACTGTACATATACCAACTGCTGAAATGCCTGAATGCCAGTCTATAGAAATTGTCTTTATTCATTACTGCCAATCGAAATGCATTACACAAGTAATTTTACCATTTTCTTACAGTTATTATTATCTGCAATTTTTTAATTGTGTGCGTTGTCATAGGCATCTGTGGTGTAATATTTGAGGCCCGCCTGGGCTGTCTCAGAGGTGAGGTTGCAGATGAAACCCAGAAATTCATCAGCTCGGTTGGAATCATGTTGGAGAACGAGGTAGTGCTTGAACGGCTACCTCACTGGACCAGAAATTGGCTTCCTTACTGGGGACGTTTTGTAGAGGCCTGGGACACCCTCTTTGCTTATGGTAAGTGATGTCTTGATCTGCAAGCAATCAGGTTTGTACAGTGCACAAGCAACTGATTTCCATACCCAGCTTTAGCTAGCTACGGCCAACCCAACCCAATCGTACGGCCAACCTGTCCAATCGTACGGCCAACCTGTCCAATCGTACGGCCAACCTGTCCAATCGTGTACGGCCAACCTGTCCAATCGTACGGCCAACCTGTCCAATCCTACGGCCACAGTCATCAAATATCCATTATCTCCTGCGCTCAAAGACTCAGATCAAACGGGCGTTAGTAACAAGCAGCGAGTTCATCCGCTGGTGATCAGAGGTTGTGCAGCTCTATCATGAAGCTGGGGAAGCTTGATAAAACTGTAGAAGAAAATGAAAGAAAGAGCGCACAAACCTTGCGCATTACCTCGACAAATAGTGACTAATTTTATTATTATGGAAATATACTCACAAAGTGATGGTATAACAGGCATAAGTAACCATAATCCACACAGGGTTACAGGTAAATCCAAAAAGGGGGGGGGGGGGGGGGGGGGGGGAATAAAGGAAAACGTTTCGAAGGGTGCTCCCTTCTTCATCAGAGCTGGGTTGAGCAGATAGAGACTTCAGTATGGCAGAGTTCCCATGGCAAGCAGACATTCAGCCACTGAGTGTCAGTATTACAGCAGTTCAGCCTGTTTAGTGACACTAAGCACCATTCGAAACGCGTTTGCCTTCATTCCCCCCCCCCCCCTTTTTGGATTTACCTGTAACCCTGTGTGGATTATGGTTACTTATGCCTGTTATACCATCACTTTGTGAGTATATTTCCTTAATAATAAAATTAGTCACTATTTATCGAGGTAATGCGCAAGTTTGTGCGCTCTTTCTTTCATTTTCTTCTACAATCCTACGGCCAACCTGTCCAATTGTACGGCCAACCTGTCCAATCCCTACGGCCAACCTGTCCAATACGGCCAACCTGTACGGCCAACCTGTCCAATCCTGTATCTTACGGCCAACCTGTCGGCCAACGGCCAACCTGGCCAACCTGTGTCCTACGGCCAACCTGGCTACGGCCAACCTGCTCAATCACACAAGGCACCATCTGGTAAAGAGAACGTAGAGTATTTTCATATATTTTATTTATTATACTGACTAAGAATATCTGATGTTACCAGCGGATAGCAATTTTGAGCCTGCTTTTCACCACCTCTGAGTAATGTTTCTGCTGTGCTGTAAATGGCTGGGATAATGTGATATCCTGCTATGTTCTGCATTGTGTATTTACAACATACATGGTTGAATGAGTCTACTGCATACTGTGACTACCAGGAGAAAGCTGTCTAGGAATTCGGTTAGACTCGGGTAATCACAAAACTGAGCATGTAGTGCTGGACTTGCTTATTAGAAAGGCCAGAATGCACTGCAAACTCTATATACAGGAAGCAAAGAAGATCCTTGTATAAAGTGTGTAATTTATATAAAATATGCATTTAAAATTCAATTGATTTAAAACCATGTATAGCTTCCCTTTGTTCACTAAATAAAGTGGTTGAAACCCTTACATATAATTAGTGAAGTGGCTGGTCTCGGGTGATACACAGAGATTAAACAAATCCTCCTACATAAGTTGTACCTGTTTATCTGCAATTTGCCTTTTCTCTTTTCTCTCTTTTCGTTTTTCTCCTTTTTTTTTTTTCTCTTCTCAGAAAGCTTTTTTGAGAGTTCAGAAAAAAGGGGGCGGAGAGGTGAAATTACACTCTGCAGAGCTCCAGTGAGGAGATCTCTGCGCTAATTGGAGGGAAGGGAGACATACCCCTCCACACAGCTCACAGGAACAGAGCTGAGGCTGTCAACCTGTTAGAGCTCCCTCCCCTGTCACCATTTTTCTCTTGGTGTCAGGAAAACCTGTCAGAAGTAGTAGTAGAACAAGGCAGCAGAAAGAAATGGCACTTAGTGCTCTTTACAGAGACGGGTACACACTATAGAGGGATATGCTTAATGCATATTTCATGTCGGACATTTCCAACCATTTTAAAATCCGTTAAGGTATGAGCTTGGGCAGAGTGCCAATGAGCTTTTGTTCACATCAGATTGGATTTGCATTTTGTAATGGAGCCTCAGATAGCAGTAAAACCGGATAGGGGTTCTAATCCTTTCCAACTCCCTACAAAACTAGAAAAGGTTTTGGCTATAGATGCATTTTAATAACATCCCACATTTTGTAATAAATGCTGCACTGTTAATGCACTTGCTCTTTGTAGGGACGAAAATGATTGACAAGAAAATGGAAGACATTGAAGGGCGCCTCCAAAGAGGAGAAGATTTGGGAGGAGCCTATCTTACTCATCTGCTGACCAATGGGACGCTGGGCCTGAAGGAGGTGTATGGGATCATGCCGGAGATCCTTCAAGCTGGGGTGGACACGGTGTGTTCTGTAAAGGCTTCCTCATTTCATAATTTCCTTTATTCAGAAATAGTAACAACTTTTTAAAGGAGTATTTGGACGGAGCTTACAGAGTAAAGACCTCTCCCCCTCCAGCACCATATGACATTACTGGCTATGTACTGGCCATTGGGCACGTAGACAAGATGGTGAGAGAGTCACCCGATATAGGGGAGCCTCTAAGTGACCCTGTAACCTGCATGACCAAAGCACATTTTTACTTTAAAGGGAATTTATGCTTTATAAGTTGACTCCTTCTATATTTTATGGGATTTATATTTTTTTTATTTTAAAATGACTAATAAATTGAGACAAAACTAAAATTGGTGTGTGTAAAAAAAAAAAAAAAAAAAAAAAAAAAAAAAAATTTCAAGGCATAATATACATCAATGCATGTAGTAAGTCCATCTCTAAACGCCCAGTGATCTAGGAGAAATGATGAAATATTGTATTGCATTCAATGATCCTTTTAAGTGTCATCAAAGGAGAGTGTCCCTATGAGTAAAACCGCTTCTCGGCTGCCCTATAGCAGAAGTACTGGTACAGGGCAGCAGGAATGTGCAAAATTGTGTGCGTTACATTTCCGGGGTAGGGGGCGCGATCCCTACCCACGCCGCCATTGGCTCCTCTGCATGTCAATCACCAGGTTCCGGCCACCGATTCTCAGCCAGGACTTGGTGATTGGCGGCTGAGCTGACAGGGGTGAGGTCTGTGTGTAAACACAGATCTCTCGCCTGTCAGCACAAACAGGCTGCTTTGTATTGCTCTGCACAGCAGAGCAATACAAAGCAGCTTGTCTACATATTAAAACACACAGTTAACCCTTTGATCGCCCCAGATGTAAACCCCTTCCTGCCCAGTGCCATTAGTACAGTGTCAGTGCTTTTTTATTAGCACTTATCACTGTATTAGTGGCCATCAGTGAAGCCTATCAATGCCACCCATCACTGCAGCCTCATTAGCGCACCTCAGTGAAGGAGAAAAATTACTTATTTACAAAATTTTATAGCAGAAACTAAAACTTTTTTTTTTTCACAATTTCCAGTCTTTTCATTTGTTTAGCAAAAAAAAAAAAATAGTAAAATAAAAAAGCTGTCTCAAAAAATGATAAAAATTTAGTTTGGGTACAGTGTTGCATGACCACACAATAGTCAGTCATTCAAAGTGTGATAGCGCTGAAAGCTAAAAATTTGGCCTGGGCAGGAAGGGAGTGAAAGTTTCCGGTAGGCAAGTGGTTAAAGGATCACTAAATGCAGTACAATATTCCTCATTTATCTTAGTTCACTTGGTGTTTTATATATGGACTTCCATGGACTCTCTACATGCATTGATGTATATTATGCTGTAAAACTTTTGGTGTGGTTTTTTTTTTTTTTTTATACACCCTATTTTTCACTTTTGATTTATTATTCATTCAGTAAGTGTGTCTGTTGGTATAGTTACACTGGTCTAATTACAGTGAGGTTGTATTGAGTTGTCAAGTATGCCAATTTGTTTGTTGGTTTGCGCTGCACTTTATATGTAAACGGTTTATTGAGCTAAAGTTGTGTACTTTGTGTCAGGTCCATTGGTTTTACAACCAAGCACATAAGGTGCAAAAATTAGAGGGGGGATTAGAAGATCCATAGTACAAAGTGATAACAACTGGAATGGAAAACTGCCTCGTACAGCTTGTTCAGTAAAAGATCATGGAGTACAATGAACCATCAGAAAACTAGCAGAAATACCTAAGTTATACAATTCTCATAAATATTAAGGGAACACTTTATAATCAGAGTCTAGCATCAAGTCAATGAAACTCCTGGGATGTTGATCTGGTCAGGTAAGTAGCAGAGGGGGTTGTTAATCAGTTTCAGCTACTTTGGTGTTAATGAAATTAACAACAGGTGTATTAGATGGGCAACAATGAGACGACCCCCAAAACAGGAATGGTTTTACAGGTGGAGGCCAAAAAAAAAGACTGGGAGCCGCAAAACCATTGCAACAGTAAAACAAATGACACTGCATATATTGCAAAAAGCGCTCTGGTCATGAAGGGGGTTTAAGGGCCCAGTAAGAGGGTTAATGTGTATCGTCATTCACAATCATAGGCCTTAGGTCAGTGGTGGGCAACCCAACTGAGCCAAATCTCGCCAAAACCACGATTAAAATTTATTTTGAGAGCCACATTTTTAAAACTGAAAATACATCCCCCATTTAGTAATTCATTTCATCCCCCCTATTAATTCATTTCATCCCCCATAGTAATTCATCCCCCCAGTACATTTCACCCCCATATAGTAATTCATCCCCCCTATAGTAATTCATTTATAGTAATTAATCCCCCATATAGTAATTCATCCCCCCTATAGTAATTCATCCCCCCTATAGTAATTCATTCCCATATTGTCAATTCACTTACCTGTACTCCGCGCGTTCCTTGCCGTGTTCCCGGCAGTTCTGGTCTTCAGACTGTGAGAGGTTTTGAGTACTGTCAGTGACAGCCAATGTTTGCCACGCTCCGCTGGGTATAAGGTAGCCGGGCCTGTTTGCCCATTGCTGTGCCAGAGTCCTAAGCCCGAGAGGAGGGAGGGGACACACAGAAGAGCTGCAAAAACCTCCCTGGCGGGATTCCTTCCGATTTTTGGTGCTGAAAGCGGTACCATTTTTTCCATGGATTGTGTCATTATCACTCAATTCTGCAAGTGGGCCGGTCTAAAACCGCTTTTTGACCACGCTTTTTGGACGCCATGGACTTTTCTACGTTTCAGAAAAGAACAGACAAAATGCAGGCAGGGCACAGACACACTCTCTGTATGGGGATGAAACAGCAATGTTTTAATTGAAAATTGCAAAGACTGCTATGACGTCACGGGGACCGGTTACACAGAAGGGATGGGATCGGTAGGAGATTCAGGGGACGCTGCAGGGGACACATCGCGGGAACGAAAGACAAGGTAAGTGCTGCTGGGGACCCCCAGAGCAGCGCCGCATGGCAAGCCAATGACTACCCGAGCTACACTGCAGGTTTGCAGGCTAGGTTCCGACCACTGGCTACGGCAACCCTATTGCCTGTCACCTGGTGGGCAGTGTGCCCCGGAGCCGCAGCAAAGGTGAAAAAGAGCCGCATTGCATGACTGCTCTGGAGCCGCGGGTTGCCGACACCCTGGCTAGGGTCAGTGTCACTACTGGTAACATGAGGCGGTACCTGTGCTCGCTGCCCAGCACCATAGAGCTCGATTGGCATTTGCCATTGAACCAGAATGGCAGGTCCACCACTGACGCCCTGTGCTTTTCACAGATGAGAGCAGGTTCACCCTGAGCACATGTGACAGACTGACTGGAGAAGGAAGGTTATGCTGCCTGTAACATGGTTCAGTATGACCGTTTTAGTGGTGGGTCAGTGATGATCTGAGGAGGAATATCCATGGTTTTGACAGACCTCTACAGGCTAGACAATGGCACCCTGACTGCTATTAGGTATCGGGATGAAATCCTTGGACCCATTGTCTCTGGTGCAGTGGGTCCTGGGTTCCTCCTGGTGCACGACATTGCCCGGCCTCTTGAGGGAGAGTATGCAGGCAGTTCCTGGAGGATGAAGGAATTGATACCATTGAATGGCCCCCACACTCGCCTGACCTAAATCCAATAGGTCACCTCTGGGATATCATTTTTCAGTCCATCCAACACTGCCAGGTTGCACCTCAGACTGTCCAGGAGCTCAGTGATGTCCTGGTCCAGATCTGGGAGGAAATTCCCCAGGACACCATCCGTGGTCTCATTAGGAGCCTCCCCCGCCGTTGTCAGGCATGCATACAAGCACGTGGGGGCCATACAAACTACTGAGAACCATTCTGAGTTGCTGCAATTAAATTATTTTATGCTCCCTCCCAGCCACCATCTGGGCACCCCCCCCATCTTCCCCAGAGGATGGCTGGGATTGCATACATATTCAGCTGCTCATTTGACTCTCCCAGCCCGCTGTCTTCCAGAAACCTCCAGAAAAAGGGGAAAGCAGTCAATCCTGCAGCTAGTGAGACGCAGCACAGACCAAAATAATCACATGCAGCTCAACTGATTACAATAGAGTTAAAAACTAAATGAACCTAACCCAGCACCTGTCTACAAGGTGCTACATAAAAGGTATAACTTATTCTTTAATATACACCTATCATGACAGAAATACCTAGGTAGTCCTTGCTGATCTCTATTGGAAAATGCTATTTACATGGATCTCCTGTTGATTTCTGGTCTAATACTTTGAGTTGCTGACCTTTGAACAATTTCTGTTCTTCATGCTGACTTCTCTGTATACTTGTTATTGGTCTGATATAACAACCAGAGCATTGGCAAGAGAGCCAGGCTACTAGCATTTTCAGAAGAGCCACAACAACAGTTTTTTTTTTTATCTGATTTTCCCGCAGACATCAAATACCATGACATGGGCCCTGTACCTGCTGGCAAAGCACCCAGAGGTCCAAAAGACTCTCTATGAGGAGGTGGTGAGAGTTATCCCCGGAGACAAAGTTCCCTCCCATGAGGATCTTGCTAGAATGCCTCTGCTGAAAGCAGTCTTCAAGGAAACCCTGAGGCAAGAGCTCTTTTGAACTACCTAATAAAATATATAGAACGTTTTATTTGTATCCTTTAATAAGGAAACCCAGTTAGTTTTTTTTTTTTGTGTGTGTGTGTGTTTGTTTTTTGTTTTTTTTTTTTTTTCTTTTTGTGTTTTGCGATCCAGTTGGAAAAAAATGGCTGTGCGATATTGTGCTAGATCTGTACTATACACTAGTGGATCTGAATGTACGGTTAACCATTGGGTATAAAGGACTGACTTGCATGCTTCCAGCTATTGTCCTGGAAAGGAATAATCTCCTTATATTTGAAATCTGTACAAGAATGAGAAATGTGAAGTCCTTCTTTTCTAAAGATGTACTGTGCTCTGCAGTAGTGAGGCGGATAACTCTTCCTTTATAGTCCCACTTTTACTATAACCTCCAGGGTTATACATTTTTGTGTATTTATTGAAACAATCACATTAATACATTTTTTTAAATTTAGGCTGTATCCGGTGGTTCCACAAAACGGACGTATTATAACAGACAAGGAGATCGTTCTTCTAGAAGGATATGTATTCCCTAAAGATGTAAGTAATTTCCATTATAAGGATGGTATTGCATCCATTTCTTCAGTAATGGGGGGCTGAGGGGTAGGAAGAAGTGACCACCTTGTGGTGCAAGAAAATCAAAAAAAAAAGAAAAAAGGCCCTGAAACTTTTTTTCAGTTTATAAGTTTATAGTCAACAGGCTCCCTGCCTAATAGTGGAGACCACACACTGAGAAACACTCAATAGAAAACCTTTCTTTGTCCTTTTTGAAGCCCTAGTGTGGTTCTCTGGATTTTTGGAAGCTTAGTCCTCTAAACATCATTGGCTGCCAGTTGGGGTGGAAGATGACACAAGAGGTATGCTTGCTTCCTTTCTCTCCAGTGGCAGGACAAGGTCCTTTTTAGCACCTGTTCTGTCTCTCCAATCTAAGCATTGAAAGTGTGATCTCTGTAACTTACAGTTGTGATGAGATAGCGATAACTCCAATCTTAGTTGAATATCACAGACAGTGACTCAATCCAGAAGACATTTTGTAGATCTTGTGAAGTTTATTCCACAAACTGAGAGAATTTTACAACAATGAACATCAGATAGGTCAAAAGATCATAATGTGATCTGCTTCATGACATGAGGCTTGAAGCTGAAATGCCTTACTGGGAAAAAGGGCTATCTATACAGCATAAACTAAACCAAAGGAAAGGGAGGAGCAGAGACTAAATACAAAGAACACCTAAAGGCATATGACAGTCATGTGAAACATGACAGCACCCAAGGCAAAGAAGTCAGAGCGCCCCCCCCCCCCCCCATGCCTTCCCATTTAGCTGTGAACCTCTTCAGTAGCACAGGTTTCGGGTCTTGCTCTTTTGTGCACCCTCCGGCTGACGTTTCCAAGGCAGTTGCCTCTTCTGCCTGCCTCTTTACCCAGCCTGGCTTCTGTTCTAATGAAAAAAGAAATACCGCTCAGGTAAAACAATCAAATCAAATCCAACACAGGTGCAGACCCTGGCTCGTCACCACGTACACATGGAAAAGAAGGGTTTGGCCAAACACCAGGGAGGTATGATGAAAAAGTAAAGATTGTTTGTTTATTGATGCATAAAAGGACACAAAAGGCACCAGGACAATGGTATCTGGTAACACGTTTCACACAGTCACCTGCTTGGTCATAACAAAGAGAGAATCAGAAGTGCTGTCTCTTATAGGTGGTAATCAAAGAACGTGCCTCAATCAGCACTCCTGAGTCCGGGGATAAACCTATCAATTCCAATGTTACAAAAAACATGTAAAAACGTTTTAGAAAAGAAAATATAAACAAGAAAATGACATCAAATACACACATATGAATATCCCCAAGAGATGCCACACATAAAGTGTAAATACACACATAAACATAGATACAATAAATATCCATCCATAATAAAGTCCGTACATGTTCAGACAGATATGTGTCAAAAAGTTCCTCCAAACATAGAACACCCATACATGGAAAGGAGTTCTACAAGGGAAATAAGGAGCATATTATAGGGAAAAAGGCTCTCTTCTTGCTAAGCTTGGTCTCTGCTAGGCAGTTACCACCCTGACCCCTGGTACCACTGTACATACTGCAGAATAATTCAAGCATCTACCCAGAGGCTATGCAATGGGAATTGGAAGGGATCCAAATCTTTAGGGAAATATATACTGTATAATGTGAACTGGAAAAAAAATGGTTGAGGAGAAGAAATGCATTTTGAAGTTTTCACCTTGGGTGTTTCTGGGCTGATTTGGCAAGCCAACCAGGCAACTAGCAGAAGAGACAATAACCTTGGGAACTTCAGCAGTCAAGAGGGCAAGACCTGAAACATATTCTGCTGGAGAAGGTGATAGCTAATTGGAAGGGGTGGAGGGTGCCCTCTGACCTTTTTTTTTTTTTTTTGCCTTGGGTGCTATAGGACCTTGTCCCAGCACAGACTGCAACACGAGACTGTCAAATCATACCCTGACCCTTTTTATTGCTGGTACATGAGTCATTTTTGGTTATGCTTTTGTGCTACCAAAAATTGCCAGTCCAATGCCAAAAAAATATTTGTTTTGGACAAAGTGGAGAAAGCGAGAGTCTGTCAGCAGTACAATGGTTTTTAGAATTCAAACTACCCCCCCTGGTATTTGTGCAGGTAGATACCAGGGGCGGACTGACAACTCATGGGGCCCCCAGGCAATAGGGGATCATGGGGCCCCTATGTCCTTGCCTACACTCAAAGCCTATAAAAGGTACCAGGGACATTTCATGGGGCCCCCTACTGACCCCGGGCCCTCGGGCAGTGCCCGAGTGCTCGAATGGTCAGTCCGCCCCTGGTAGATACACAATGACTGCAGCTGATGACCTCTTTTTGAAAATGCTACTTGCCTGGCTTTCATTGGTGCAAAGACTAATTTCACCTTTCCAATAAAAATGCATTCAGGCACCCCAATATATTAAAACACACCGTGCAGTGCTTCATGAAATCATACGTGTGGCCTTTCCCAGGCCTGTCAGAAAAACTCCCAGTGTGAGGGACGCTCCCCATCCTGCCTAAAATACCAAGACATGCACTGGGCATTGAATGCAAAGGAACTTGTTGGAAAAGTAAACTTTAGCCTTTAAATACTTTTATCAAAGGGCTTTTATTGCTTCAAGTAAAATATGAGAGGGCCAGAAGTTTCATGAATCTAGAAAAAAAATGTTCAATTATGCATTTCTAAGAACAGTCTGTGTTTCGGGGGGTACAGGGAACCCTTCCTTTTATAGAGTTTGATGCTTTTTGAGGCAATCTGCACTAATGAAGAGATCCTTGAGGGTAAATGGTAAAAAGAGTATCAGCAGACCGCTCACTCTCAATGTACAATTTTTTTTTTCAGACCCAATTCGTACTCTCTCACTATGTTCTGTCCCGGGATGAGAACAGCTTCTCTGAACCTGACAAGTTCCTGCCCCAGAGGTGGCTGCGCAGCTTTGAGAGGAAACATCACCCTTTAGCTCTATCCCCTTTGGGTATGGGGTCAGGGGGTGCCTGGGGCGTCGGGTAGCTGAGCTGGAAATGCACTTAGCTCTGTCTCAGGTGAGTTGTGTGCTACTATCAGATACTGGTGTATGAATGCCATATGTCCATTTAATTTCACTCTCAGAATATTACAGTATAACCTATTGGGAGTAAAGTCCTCACTCCTATGGTACCCTGTATGTAAAGTGTAAGTTCACCTTTTTCAGAATAAGAAAAGGTGAACTAATGCTCTACATGCCCCCCCCCCCCGTCTCTGCTGTACTTACCTCTGTGGGTAATGAGGTGTCGGTGCCCATGCAGCCAGTGTAGTGGTCTGGGGATTTGAAATCCATTTTCTTCCCCTTCTCCCTGCAAGACTTCGGGGACAGATCAGACCGATTCTAGTCCTGTTCCCAGTGCTGACCCATCAGAATCAGTCTGATCTGTCCTGGAAGGGCTGCAGAAAGGAGGAGCGGAAAATGCATTTCCGGTCCCCAGACCACTGCACTGCACTGGCTGTGTGGGCATAGCTCCCAACTGTCCCTGATTTTGAGGGACTGTCCCTGATTTGGAACATAGTTCCCTCTGTCCTGCTCATTTGTCCCTCATTTTGGTCTGATCTCTATAGTTTGTATATAAAATGCTTTATCTATTGTTATCTTTCATAAAGTGTTTCCCAGTGCTAAACCTTCCATCTAAATTGCTGCATCTGTAAATTTCAAAAATCAGTATAAAGGAATGGTAGTGTAAAAAAAAAAAAAAAAAAAAAAAAAAACACTTGTGGGTCTAAGTAATATTTTATTTTGTATAATTCTCTTGAAAGGGGGTGTGTCCTATGCATACATACATTTGATAATAGGTGTCCCTCATTCTCATCTCAAAAGGTTGGGAGGTATCTGTGTGGGCGCTGACAACTCATTACCCACAGAGCTAAGTAAAGCAGGGCCTGGGGGGGGGGGGGGGGGGGGGGGGGATGTCAAACTGGCTGCCTTCCAGCTATTGCAAAACTGCAAGTCCAATCATGCCTCTACCTTTGGGGGTCATGTGCTTGTAATTGTCAATCTTGCAATGCCTCATGGGAGCAACAGCTGGAGAGCCGCCAGTTTAACACCTGTGGCTTAGAGTGTTTGTTTTACTTTTTTTTTTTTCTTTTTCATTTTTTCTTAACAGGTGAACTAACCCTTTAAAGCAATGGTCTCCAAACTGCGGCCCAAGGGCCAGATGCAGCCCTTTGCTAGCCTTTATCTGGCCCTTGGGGCACTATTCCTAACACTGGCACCAAAGTGGGGCATAATTCACCCCTTCAGTCTCCGCCCGTATCACCCACCTGCTGAACGACATATCAGACTGGATGTCACTCCATTTCCTCAAATTGAACCTTTCCAAAACCGAGCTCCTAATCTTCCCCCCAGCCCACGCCCCCCCTCCTTCTCTCTCCATCACGACCAACAATGCCACCATCAGTCCCACCCCACAAGCCAAAGTCCTAGGTGTCACTCTAGACTCAAACCTTTCCTTCCAACCCCATGTCCAATCATTGGCAAACTCATGCAGGCTCCACCCCCGCAACATCTCCAAAATACGTCGTTCCTAACCCCAGACACTACTAAACAACTCGTTCACTCCCTTATTATCTCACGTCTGGACTACTGCAACTCCCTTCTCACCGGCCTACCTCATCACAGACAGTCTATCCCCGCTTCAGTCTATCCTGAACTCAGCGGCCAGACTCATCCACCTTACCAATCGCTTCGCCGCTTCTGCCACCCCCCTCTGTCATTCCCTCCACTGGCTTCTGATTGCCCAACGCATTAAATTCAAAACTACTGACATACAAAGCCATTCATAACGCTGCCCCAAACTACCTCACCGACCTGATTCCCAAATACCACCCAACACGTACCCTTCGCTCCTCACAAGACCTCCTACTCTCTAGCTCCCTGGTCTCCACCTCCCACGCCCGACTGCAGGACTTCTCCAGGAACTCACTACCCCAATCCATCAGACTGTCACCTACCCTCCTCACCTTTAGGCGCACCCTGAAAACCCATCTCTTCAGGGAAGCCTACCCCACCCTCACCTAACTGCTGTACTCCTCCACTCCTCCTACCACTCCATCCCCCACAGCCATTTCCTCCTGTACCACTATCCCCTCCCTCCTAGATTGTAAGCTCGAAAGAGCAGGGCCCTTGAACCCCGTGTTTTGTATTGTTACTGTATTGTCTCATGTACTGTCCCCCACTATAATGTACAGCGCTGAGCAAACCTTTTAGCGCTATATAAATACTGTATAATAATAATAATTCCCCCCAACTGGCACGAGCAATGGGACACTATTCTTTCCACCCAATGATGGGGCCCTATTCCATCCACTAATATCAATGCAATGGGGCCCTATTCCATCCACTAATATCAATGATGGGGCCCTATTCCATCCACTAACATCAATGATGGACCAATATTCCTTCCAGTGATGGCACTGATAGGGCACTACTCCTCTGCTACTGACCACAGGCACTATGCAACTGAACACCACACCTGAGACCTTGTTTACTCTTCCTGATGTTGGCCCTGAGACTTTTTCTTTCCTCCCCGCTGGCCACAATCTGGCCCCCCTAAGGTCTGAAGGACAGTAAACTGGCCCTTTTTGTTTAGAAAGTTTGGAGAACCCTGCTTTAAAGCGATATTAAAGCCAAATATATAATATATTAAAACCAAATATATAATATATTCCTTAGATGTGGTGGGTGTTAATTTTTTTTTTTTTTTTTTTTTTTTTTTTGCTTTTTCTTCTCTGCTTTTACCTGGTAATCTGGCCAGTAACACACCTCCTATATTAGAGCACCCTCATACTGGATGAAAGAGCAACAGAAACACCTTTGGACAGCAGCAATGTCAGTATTGTGGCTGCTGGTGGGGTCGGTAGCTGCTACCAGGCCTTCTGGCTGGGCCGCTCCTTCCCTGCCTCACAGAACTAGGGGGCCAAGCCCAACCCCTGAAAAACAACCCCACACCATAATCCCCCCTCCACCAAACTTTACACTTGGCACAATGCAGTCAGGCAAGTACCGTTCTCCTGGCCACCACCAAACCCAGACACGGCCATCAGATAGCCAGAGAAGCGTGATTGGTCACTCCAGAGAACACGTCTCCACTGCTCTAGAGTCCAGTGGTGGCATGCTTTACACTACGGCATCCGACGCTTTTTGCACTTGGTGATGTAAGGCTTGGATGCAGCTGCTCGGCCATGGAAACCCATTCCATGAAGCTCTCTACACACTGTTGTTGTGCTAATCTGAAGGCCACACCAAGTTTGGAGGTCTTTAGCTATTGACTCTGCAGACAGTTGGTGACTTCTGTGCTCTTCAGCATGCGCTGACCCCGCTCTGTCATTTTACGTGGCCTTCCACTTGGTGGCTGAGTTGCTGTTGCTTCCACTTATAATCCCACTAACAGTTGAGCGTGGAACATTTAGTAACCAGGAAATGTCACGGATGGACTTATTGCACAGGTGGCCACCTATCACGGGACCACGCTTGGAGTCACTGAGCTCCTGAGAGCGACCCATTCTTTCACCAATGTTTGTAGAAGCAGTCTGCATGCCTAGGGGCTTGATTGTATACATTTGTGGCCATGGAGGGGATTGGAACAAACCAATGATCTGGAGGGATGGTCCAATACTTTTGGCAATATAGTGTATGTCTGTAACTCTGTTGTGAAGATTTCCCTCATTTTCTGTCCTGTGTTCCCACTGCAAGTTATAAAAGCCTTATCCAGCTCTATCTGATACAACATTCTTTTGCTGGAGTTCCACTTTCATGTCTCGGTAACAATTTTCTTTGCATCTCCAGATGATCCGGCAATTCCAGGTGCTGCCAGACCCAGAAATGAAGGAACCTAAGGCAAAGAATCGAGTGGTTCTTGTGTCAGACATTCCAATCAATTTGCAGTTCATCGATCGATCGCCACTAATGGATACGGGGCTAAAAAACCTTTTCAAGGAAACTGAAGTGAAACAGGATGTAAGTATTTTAACTGGAAGACAGACTGCCCCATCTGTTGTCCTAGCTCAGTGATGGCGAACCTTTTTAGCCCAAACTGCAACCCAAAACCAACTTATTTCTTTCAAAGTGCCAACACTGCAATGAAACTGAATTCGAGCTTTTGGTTTAGTTGACTCGTACAGTAATGTAGTACAGGGATCCTGCGGACACAGTACAGGGATGACCAGAGACTGCGGACAGTACAGAATGACCAGAGAAACATGACCAGATGCGGACAGTACAGGGATGACCAGAGACTGCGGACACAGTACAGGGATGACCAGAGACTGGACACAGTACAGGGATGACCAGAACTGACACAGTACAGGGATGACCAGAGACTGCGGACACAGTACAGGGATGACCAGAGACTGCGGACACAGTATGACCAGACTGCGGATGTACAGAGATGTACAGGGATGACCAGAGACTGCGGACACAGTACAGGAGATGACCAGAGACTGCGGACACAGTACAGGAGATGACCAGAGACTGCGGACACAGTACAGGGATGACCAGAGACTGCGGACACAGCACAGGGATGACCAGAGACTGCGGACACAGCACAGGGATGACCAGAGACTGCGGACACAGCATGAGACTGCGGACACAGCACAGGGATCAGAGACTGCGGACACAGCACAGGGATGACCAGAGACTGCGGACACAGCACAGGGATGACCAGAGTCACTAGACTGCGGACACAGCACAGGGATGACCAGAGACTGGGGACACAGCACAGGGATGACCAGAGACTGCGGACACAGCACAGGGATGACCAGAGACTGCGGACACAGCACAGGGATGACCAGAAAAGCCTTGGGGACACAGCACAGGATGACCAGAGACTTTTTAGGGATGACCAGATGACCAGACAGGGATGACTGGGGACACAGCACAGGGATGACCTGGGGACACAGCACAGGGATGACCAGAGACTGGGGACACAGCACAGGGATGACCAGAGACTGGGGACACAGCACAGGGATGACCAGAGACTGGGGACACAGCACAGGGATGACCAGAGACTGGGGACACAGCACATGACCAGAACTGGGGACACAGCACAGGGATTGGGGACACAGCACAGGGCTTGCTGACCTTTGGGGAGGGAGGGGGAGCGGGTACCTGAATTTGACAGTACCCGCTCTTACTTCCGCAGAGTTTTTTTTTTTTTATCTTACCTGTTCCTCGATCCAGCCGCGCTCTGTCTTCCCGGCTTCTGTAGTGTGGGGCTGTCGGACAAAGTGCGCAAAAAGCGCTGCGCTTTTGATTGGTCCGGCGGCTTCTGGGATCTGTCATGTGTCCCAGGTACCGCCTTACCATTCACAAGGAGCACTGCTTCTTGTGCATGCGCACTTGGGACCCACTACAGCCGGGAAGACAGCGCGCCGCTGGATTCTCCTGGCGTGCCCACAGATAAGGCTCGGCGTGCCGGCTGTGGCACGCGTGCCACGGGTTCGCCACCACTGTCCTAGCTGATAGTATACATGTATATTGTAACATTGTCTGCACTTTTTGGTATATACAGACTGAAATGTAAATCTCAGAGCACCCGGGAGAATGAAACATGATAGATCACAGGACATGTGCTTGGCATAACGTTTGCAGAGGCGAGCAGGAGTGTAGAGCTGAATGCTGCGTGCAATGCTTTTAATGGTGGTCAGATGTTCACTAGTTTGAATCACACTACTGCTCAGATTCTACCACATACACATCTGTCTTATGGAGGTGTAAAAAAAAAATTTTTTTTATCTTGAATACATATGCAAAAAAACAAAAAATACATTATACAGATGTAAGGGTCCTAAAAGACAATATTATTATATATTTGATTTTAAGGGCCAGTTCACATTACATGCAGTCCTGTTTCTTTTTTTTTTTTTTATCTGCATCAAAAATGCATTGACAGGCGGTTACATGGTTTCCAATGGCCTAGTTCACACCTGTGTGGTCTGTTCCAGTAAAACAGTAGAACATGCTGCATTTTTTTCTGCACTGAACTGTATTGGAACGCAGTAAAATGCACTGGAACACGCCAGAATGCACATGTCCTTATTTAAGTTGAAGGCAAAAGAGAGAGAAAAAAATGAACCGGAACACATCCAGACTGTTTCTAGAATGTGAACCAGTCCTAAAACGTAACGCCAGGAACTCATCCAGACTGTTTCTAGAATGTGAACCAGTCCTAAAACGTAACGCCAGGAACTCATCCAGACTGTTTCTATGGTGGGAACCAGCCCTAAAAAGGAACTCCAGGAAAAAAAAAAAAATTTTCATTTCAATATATTTCTCAACAGCCATAAAGGTTATCATTCCATCTTTTATGTGCATTAAATACCTTTACAAAACCAGATATTACCTTGTACAGGTGACTCTGACATCATCACTGTGCTGTACACAACCTGTGCAGAGAGAAGAGCTGTGGGAGGGGCTCAGCAGGACCCACCTACTAAAAGCTGTCTGTAGAAAACTACAGGAGGGGGTGGAGACCAGACCAGTCCTCCTGCACAAGGAGAGAGAGCAGCAGTGAGCGGTCTTTATTACAGGAAGTCTCGCACTGGATTACTGCCAGATCTGGAAGAAATACACAAAGCTCACGGAGATCCAACGAGAAACACATGACTTTTTGTATTAGAAAATATGCGTTCATCTCTGAAGTCCAGCTTTAATCTGGGCAATAAACTAAATTCGTCTGCTCTTGTCTTTTTAAACTCCCTCGTTTCTCTGTATGTTTTTCAGTGTTAAAAGGAGGATGCAAATCTAAAAGTTTCTAGAGATTCCTTTTTTTCATTTGTTATCCCAATGAGCTAACTAGAAGCAAGCTCGGGTACCATGCAGATCAGGGATGCCACTTGACACCGCTGTATGGAGGAAATGCTGAGCGCTATAGATCAGCAGTACAAGCGAGCAAAAAATAATAGCTGCAGGGTTTACTAATATACCTGATTTGTTGTAATTGACTGGCAAATAATAAAGTGTTTGAAAAAAAAGTGCAGATTATTTGTGGTTACTGTCTGGTGCTTTGCATTTATTTGGCTAACATAGACTCTCTTCATAAATTAAACTTCAGGTTAAAAAAAGGCAAAGTACTTTCCAGATGCATCGAAACAAAACAGTGTCTTTTACAGTTTTTGTTTTTTTTTCTAAAGCAGCCACAGCCTGAGTAGAAAAGCCTGTTGGCTGCTGCAGAGACATGGTCTCATTGCAGAGGTCTGACATGCCTCCAGTGATTTCAACCTATAGCTCTGCAATCAGCAAAGCTCATATCCCAAATGATTGGAGAGCTCTGACTCAGCAGGGATAGGCTGGACCTCTGCAGAAATAAATGGTTCCCCACAGAGAGCAAGGAACCTACTCTACAATATGCTGGCAGGGAACAGGCTTTTTTTTTTTACTCACTGTGGCTGATTTTTAAAGGAAACAAACTGTCAGACATTTTGTTTTTATGCATCTAAAATGTATTTGGCTGATTGAAACTAAAAGTTCAGTTGGCTTTAAAGTGTTACTAAGCCCACAACAGTAAAATCAGTCTGTTTATACAGTACATCATGCTTGTTATACTCACTGTGGAACCTAAGGGGTTAATCCTCCGCATTGTGTAAAAAGGCTGTTTGATCCTGTCTTCTCTGTTCCCTCCCCCTTTTTTTCCCTTTTTCAAGTGACCACCTCTTATCTCCTGATAAGACAGACTGAACTGTAGGCATTTTGCACATGCTCAGTTTGATGTGTATTGCTAGAGAGTTGTTTTTTTCTTGGGAGAGTGCATGTGATCAGCATAGGGCCAATCAGCACTGTCCAGACAGAGGTCAGGGGTTCTGCATCTTCCTAGAGCAGAAAGTAAACTCCCCTACAAGCTTTGGGTAGTGCTCTGCTGGACACTGATGGAAGTCACAAGACTGCTCTAACTGCTGATCAGAAAAGGTATTTAGCAATTTATATTTAGTAAAATAATTGCATTTCCATGTCCTGTGTACTGTGAGATTTTTTTTTTTTCAAATTTTTTTGTTTATAGCACCAAAAATAAAAAGAGCACAAGTGATCACATACCACCAAAAGAAAGCTCTATTTGTGTGGAAAAAAAGGACATAAATTTGATTTATGTACCTTATTGCATGACCGCGCAATTGTCAGGTAAACTAGCGCAGCGCTGTATAGCAAAAAAAAAAAAAAAGACGTAAATTGCAGTATCTCTCCCATAGTTTGTAGACGCTATAACTTCACACAAAACAATCAATATACACTTACTGGGATTTTTTTTTTTTTTTCCAAAAACATGGAGCAGAATCCATTTTAGCCTAAATTTATAACTAACTTTGAGTTTACTATATATTTTTTTTTTTTATAGCCGAAAGTAAAAAATATAATTTTTCTTCAAAATTTTCGGTCTTTTTTTTTTTATAGCGTGAAAAAAAAAAAGCGCACAGGTGATCAAATACCACCGAAAGAAAGCTCTATTTGTGTGAAAAAAAGGACGTAAATTTAGTTTGGGTGCAGCATTGCATGACCGCGCAATTACCAGTTGAATTAGTGCAGCGCTGAGTAGCAAAAAGAGGCGTGGTCATTAAGGGGGGTAAATCCTCTGGAGGGCAAGTGGTTAATGTCTAAACTGCTGGCAACAAAAGTGAATCCACCCCTACGTGACAAGGTCCAAATTGGGCTCAAAGTGACAATATTTTGTGTGGCCGCCATTATAAAAATATTAATAATAAACATGATACTAGAGCTACACAGTTGTTTTTTTTTTTTTTCTCTTTGTACTGAAGTAGATTTTCCCTTCGGGTTTTCAAGGCTGTGTTTATGTCGGTGTTCATAGTTTTGTCCTTGTAACCTTTCTTATGGAAGGAGTCTGCTAGTGTCCCGAGATGTGTATCTCTGTCTCTTGGATCAGAACATATTCGGTGGTATCTAATGGCCTGACTGTGTATGATGGCACGTTTCGTGTGTTGGGGGTGGAAGCTGGAACTGTGGAGGTA